CTGCGCGGGGGCTGCCGGGAGGAGGCCGGCGGCAGGGAGCCAGGCACACCGGCATGGAGGGGCAGTGGTGACCGCTTGGGCACAGGCACAACGGGGACCCCAGCAGGCACTTGAGCAGGTCCAGGACAAACCAAACCGACACAGATGTGCCCTGAGCCAAAAAACATTCCCCGGAGAAGCAGAAGGTCCTGGCCCAACTGAGACAGCTGTGCCAATGGCAGGCTGGAAATCCCCATGCTGGGAACGCCAGCACTAGGCCACATCCCTCTTGGCCCACAGGACTGGCACCCCATGCTGCACAAGGGACAGGCTACAGCAAACACCCTTGGCAGGGCTGGCGCAGCACAGCTGAGAGTGCCTGTAGTGACACCAGTGTCCCCAGGTAGTGTGGGCAAGGAGGCACTACCAGGGAGGAGCCCATCTCCCACAGGCCACCTCACCAGGATGCCCAGCCCGGCCATTTGGTGATGAGGCATTTCTACCTGGCCAGGATATTCCTCTCATCCTCCTTCAGGAAGTTTGTCAGAGACGCACTGGCCTATAGCTGAGCCCACTGGACACAAGCCCCGTCCCCAGGACCTCTTGGGACACCCCCCCCACACTGGGGCACTCCAGCAGCACCAACCCCACAGTGAGGACAGAAAAAGAGCCAAACCAAGAACTTCCCAAGCATGGAAAAATGGAGACAGCGCCTCTGGCACAATGAGAGTCCCATATCCCCACCCCAGTACAACATGGGGTACCCAGCCATGCCATAGCAGAGTGGTCCTGGGGACAGCAACCTCCAGGGACCTGGGTGCCCAAGGACAGTGGGCACGCATGGTACGCAGGGTCCACCAGTGCAGCCGCTGGATGCCTGTGGTCCTGCTGAAGCACTGGAGTGGTCAGAGGCATTTCTGGAATATTTCTGCTGGGCCGTCGCATGCCTGGGCCCTGCCTGAGGAATTTCGCTGGTAAATAAATAAATACAGGCGTGGAGCTGAGCCAGCCCGGCTCCCCTACACCGGGAGCGAGGCTGGGACATGGAGGGGGTTACACTCGGTCCCCGATGCCCAGCCACGCCGTGCCACCAGCTGGCCCCCCCATGCACCTCACAGGACCAACAACCCCCCAAGACACAGCGGGTGCTCCCCCTGCCCAATCAGGTTCGTGGGGACAAGGGTGACTCAGCACAGACCCAGTGAGGGGGTTAAACCCCCCATGGTACACAGAGAACCCGGCACCGTCCCACTCCAGCCAGGGAGGGGCTTCCACAGCAACAGCCCAAAATATGTCTATAATTTCCTGTTTCAAAAAGGATCATTTTTATTTAAATTAGGACCAGAAACATTCCAGGGAGCTTAGTGGAGCCTGGGGGAGAGCTGGGCCTCCCTCTGTGCCGGCACCTTGCATGAGGGACCCCCAACCGTACCCAGCACCCCTGCCTGTGCTCCCCAGCACAGGTGTGGTGCATCCCTCTGGTGCATCACGCAGGAGAAGAACAGCATCCTGCACCAGGACGTGCCCAAGCTGCAGTGGCAACCAACGATGCCCCACGACACAGTCAATGCCAGCCCTCCAGTCAGCTCCCACCGGCTGATGCCGTCAAACCACACCGTGTCCCGGCACAAGGCCGCA